AAATTATATTTTATTGATTTTATACAGAGAGGAAGAGAGAGGGATAGAGAGTTAGAAACATCGAAGAGAGAGAACCATCGATCAGCTGCCTCTTGCACACCCCCTTACTGGGGATGTGCCCGCATGAACCAAGGTCCATGCCCTTGACCGGAACCGAACCCAGGACCTTCCAGTCCGCAGGCCGACGCTCTATGCACTGAGCCAAACCGGTTTCGGCAAGCATCTTAATTTTATAAAATCTAAAAAAAAAAACATATTTGCCCATTCCTCTGCCTGTATTATCCCACATCACCCCCCTCCCCCCTCAAACACACACACAACCTACCCTAACCCCCTTATGCATGGAATGGGCCAGGCCCTTTGCCTGATTGGGGTCTGCCTGCCATCTGGCGGCAGAAGTGGTAAGTGCAGGGGGAGCAGGGGGTGGTCCGGACAGGAAGTTGGATGGTGGTTCTGGGACCTGGGCCTGTGGCCTCCCAGAAGCCATTGCCCCCGAGTCCCCGGCCAGCGGGATCCTTAACGCAGAGACACCATCTGGGTGGGTCCCTTCACGTCGGAAGCCGGAATGCTTGTGTCGAGTTAAGCTGCCATGTTTGTCTGTCTTGAGTGTTGATGGAATCGGTTGTCAGCCAAGTATTCCCGGAACAAGGAGGGACTGAGGACCGACCGACCGGGTGGGTGGATTACGTATAGACTTGTTCAGTCCTCTCGTTTGTTCTTTTTTTGTTTTTGTTTTTAATACATTTTATTGATTTTCTAAAAATATATATATTTTATTGATTTTTTTTCACAGAGAGGAAGGGAGAGGGAGAGAGAGAGCCAGAAACATGGATGAGAGAGAAACATCCATCCGCTGCCTCCTGCACGCCCCCCCACTGGGGATGTGCCCGCCACCAAGGTCCATGCCCTTGACCGGAATCGAACCTGGGACCCTTCTGTCCGCAGGGCTGACGCTCTGTCCACTGGGCCACACCGGTCAGTGCTCTCATTTGTTTTTGGAGTATGAGTGGGAGGGGGAGTAAGTGTGGAGACACGTAACCCCTTTCTCTCTCCTCCTTCCTGCCCAGCTCATCACATTGATTGATTAACATTGAAAACCCTGAACCAGCGTTGCTTTTAACAGTGTGCCTATCGCCCGGCGTGGCTCCGTGGTTGAGCGTCGACCTAGGACTCAGGAGGTCAGGGTTCGATTCCCGGTCAGGCCACCTGCCCGGGTGGCAAGCCGCATCCCCAGTGTGGGGCATGCAGGAGACCGCCGGTCCATGATGCTCTCTCATCCTGGATGTTTCTCTCTCTCCCTCTCCCTTCCTCTCTGACATCGATTTTATAAAAAATATTTCTTTGCAGCTGAAACCGGTGTGGCTCAGCGGATGGAGCGTCGGCCTGCGGACGGAAGGGTCCCGGGTTCGATTTCGGTCAAGGGCATGTGCCTTGGTGGCGGGCACATCCCCGGTGGGGGGCATGCAGGACGCAGCTGATGGATGTTTCTCTCTCATCGATGTGTGTGACTCTCTATGCCTCTCCCTTCCTCTCTGTAAAAAAATCAATAACATGCATTTTAAAAAAAGAACGTTCCTTTGCAAATCAAACCGCTCCTGAAACGTGACGAGGAAGGAGACTTGCTGTCCTATTAACGCTGTGTCTGTCCGTCCCTCCTGCAGGCGCGCATCCCCAGGCCCCTCAAGAGCCTCGGCGATGACGGTGGGCCGGGCGAGGACCAGGATGAGGACGCGGACCGCACCAGCAAGTCAGTACCGGGTTCGAGGCCCCGCCCGGCCCCGGGGCTGGAGGCAGCCGCTGTGGGTTACATGGGAGACCTTCTGAGAGGGCGCCCCCGCCCCGGACCCCTGGGCATCGGGTTTAACCCCCAGCGATGCTCTGAGCCCGTCCCCACGTCGGGGTTGGGGGTGAATCCGGAGCCGGGAGAGCGGGGAGGGCCTGGGCTGGCTTCCTGGCTCTTCTGCCTCCTGGGGAAGGCGCCGTGGACTCTCCGGCTGCATGTTCTTTTTCCTTTTTTAAAATATCTTTTAATTGATTTTTAGAGAGAGAGGGTAGGAGAGGGATAGAGGGAGAGAAACATCTGTGATGACAGAGAATCGTGGATCGGCTGCCTCCTGCACGCCCCCACGCTGGAAATCGAGTGTGGAACCCTGAGCTGGGACTCTGATCTCTTGGCTCCTGGGTGGTCGCTCCACTGAGCCACACGGGCCAGGCCCAGCTGCATGTTCTTAAAAAAAAAATTTTTTTTTTGATTTTTTTTTTTTTCACAGAGAGGAAGGGGGAGGGAGAGAGAGTAAAAAACATCGATGAGAGAGAAACATCGACCAGCTGCCTCCTGCACACTCCCCACTGGGGATGTGCCCGCAACCAAGGTACATGCCCTTGACCGGAATCGAACCCGGGACCCTCCAGTCTGAAGGCTGACGCTCTATCCACTGAGCCACACTGGTTAGGGCTCGTTTTTTTTTTTGTGTGTGTGTGTGTATTTTTTTTTAAAATATATTTTATCGATGTCTGAGAGGACGAGAGTGGGAGAGAGCGAGAGAGACATCCATGATGAGAGAGAACACCATCGATCGGCTGCCTCCTGCATGCCTCCTCCTGGGGAGGGAGCCCAAAACCCATGTGCCCTCAGCCGGAATTGAACCCGGGACCCTCCAGTCCGCAGGCCGGCGCGCTATCCACTGAACCACACCAGCCGGGGCCCGGCTGCATGTTCTTCATGCAGGTGGTGCTCGGAATTCCCCCGGGTGTGAGCTGGTCGAGACCTCCCTCCCGGGGCGAGCTGGGCCCAGGGACCCTGTCTTCCTGCTGTTCCTGGGGCGGGAGCGGCGAGAGGCTGGGCGCCCCCCGAGCATGTCCCCTGTCCCCTCTACCCCCCCAGGTTGTCCTCGGAGGATGGGGAGGAGGCTGCGCCCGACTCCTACGAGAGCGATGACTCTGCAGAGCCGCGGGGGAAGGCGCTGTACGCGGGGGAGATGGATCTGCTCGGCGAGATCCTGGACACGCTGAGCACCCACAGCTCGGACCCGGGCACGCTGGCGGCCGCCAAGAGCCTGGACTTCTTCCGCTCCATGGATGACATCGACTACACGGCCGCGGTGAGTGGGCGGCGCCCCCGGGGCCGGGGCCGAGGCCCACGCTCCTTCCCCCTCCTCCACCCCCCCCCGTGGCTGGTGTGGCTCAGTGGGTAGAGCGGCTCTCGGGCCCCCAGAGGGCGGCTCTTCCACAGAACGCCACGGCCCGGGCCAGTCTGTGCGGAAGACGTGGCGTCAGGAGACGTTTACGTTTAAAAAAGGTGGCTCTCCAGAGACACGTCCGTTGTGGTGCTGTGGGTATGGGGCTCTGCGGACGGATGAGGTTGCCAACCGCTGTCTTAGTTCCGACAAGGGTGGGACCTCTCGTGGGCACGTGTCCCGACTTCAAAGATACGATGAAGTCGGATCGTGAAGAATTAATTGAAGCAAAAAAAAAAAAAAAAAAAAAGATTCAGTGTTTTCCCTTTTACTCAGCCAACCCTGGTAGTGGTGGTTAGGAATTGAAATTCTTTTTGCCAAGAGGCAGAGCTTTCTGACCGTCTCATTCTACGGTTGTCTTTTTCTTTCTTTTTTTTTTTAAATATATATTTTATTGATTTTTTACAGAGAGGCAGGGAAAGAGATAGAGAGCTAGAAACATTGATGAGAAAGAATCATCGATTAGCTACCTCCTGCACACCCCCTACTGGGGATGTGCTCGCAACCAAGGCACATGCCCTTGACCGGAATCGAACCTGGGACCCTTCAGTCCGCAGGCCGATGCTCTATCCACTGAGCCACACTGGTTTTGGCATATTTTATTGATTTTTCACAGAGGGAGAGAGAGTTAGAAACACCGATGAGAGAGAACCATCCATCAGCTGCCTCCTGCACACACCCCATTGGGGATGTGCCCGCAACCAAGGCACATGCCCTTGACGGGAATCGAACCTGGGATCCTTCAGTCCGCAGGCCGATGCTCTATCCACTGAGCCACACCGCTTTCGGCGGAAACACATATATTTTTTTTAAAATATATTTTATTGATATTTTACAGAGAGTAAGGGAGAGAGAGAGAGAGAGAGAGCTAGAAACGTCGATGAGAGAGAAACATCGACCAGCTGCCTCTTGCACACCCCCTACTGGGGATGTGCCCGCAGCCATCGTACATGCCCCTGACCGGAATCGAACCCGGGACCTTTCAGTCCGCAGACCGACGCTCTACCACTGAGCCAAACCGGCTTCGGCAATATTTTGAATATACACTCAATAACTACATGGAACCCACGTAATAACCACATATCGTGTCCTAACCAAATACAATCACGACGGCTGCCACTGCGACCATGCCGTCATCCTGTCCGAGACGCTCCTGACCGGCTGTCTGTCTGTCTGTCTGTCTCCTGCCCCCAGAACAAGCCCAGCGCGCCGAGCGAGGACAACCTGGCTGCGCTCTGCGGCGGCTCCGGGGACCAGGGCGCCTGGCACCGCGGCCAGGACGACAGCGCCCTGCACGGCCGGCACCTGCCCCCGTCCCCCCGCAAGCGGGCGAGCTCCAGCTGCGCCCCGGGCCCCCCGCTCTGCAGCCTGAAGGAGGAGAACGGCGCCCGGTCCCCGGACGGGGGCCCCCGGAGCGGCCCCGCTGGGGCGGCCCCGCCTCCGCCGGCCTCCCCCTCGGAGCCGGCTGTCCCGCGGGCAACTCCTCCTCCGGACCCGGCCGTCCAGACGGGAGACGGGGCCTCGGACCGGGAGGAAACGCTCACCCAGGCCCCGGACACCGACCTGCAGGTGCCCAGCCTCCTGGGGCGCCGGCCGTCCTCCTCGGTCCCGTGGGAGAGGGACGGGACGGGCATCCGGGAGGCTCCGTGTCCCGACACGGCGCCCGCCTCCCAGCCGGACGGGAACGTGGCCACCGGGGGAAGCAGGCGTGGGAACCAGGACTCCTTCTCCTCCTCCTGCTCCTCCTCCTCCGTTGAGAACTGAGGGCCGGCCTCGGGCGTCCACTTGTCTCCGGGGACCCTGGAGGGTCCCCCACGGAACCCCGTGCGGTAAACGGTCACGTGTAGGCACGGCAAAGCTCACAGTTGTCTAGACATTCTCGTTTCCGTCGGAGACGTCGCCCGAGGAGGGCCGGTGGGTCTGTGTGACCCGTCGGTCTTTCGGGGCGAAAGCTACTTCCTCTACTGTGCTCTTCAATCAGGTACTAGTAGCGTGTGTGTGTGTGTGTGCGTGCATGCGTGTGTGCGTGCGTGTGCATGCGTGTGTGTGTGTGTGTGTGTGCGCGAGCGCGCGTGCCTGTGGAGAGTCTATGTATCGGACACGCGACGTCCCAGGATTGGTGCTGACCGCCCCGCGTTTTATTTAAACTGAGGATGTGCGTGGACCCCGTCGCGGCTCCACACGCGTGTCCGATGGTGGAGCAGGAGCCGACCCGGTGGGCAACCCTCTTCTCCGAGCTCCCCCGGCCCCGAACGGCTGGGACGCCGGACCCACCGCTGCCTTACCCTCCCACCGCTCGCGAGCAAACATAAGCCACGTCCGGAGTCGCCCGTGCATCCTCCCCGGAGACGCGGGGACTGGCGAGGAGCCTGGCGCCTTCCCCCTCATCGGGAATCCGGGACAAGAGTCTCTCTCTCCTGTTTTTGTGTTTGGTTTTTCATGAAAAGCTCTTCGGACACGGTCCCCACGTCTTCCGAACCACGGCCTCGGGGCCACCACGCCGTGCACGCAGGGGGCGCCGTGCACGCAGGGGGCGCCGTGCACGCGAGTGTGAAGTGAATGCCTCCTGCTTGCACAGGAGACTCTTTCCACGCCCCCCTCCCAACCTCTCCAGGGTCTTTCCTTGCTAGCAGTTCCTCCTCCCATCACTCCCCACCCTCCAGAGAGCCAAAGGCCACCCATACTGTCCCGATTTTTAAAAAAAAAAAAAAAAAAAAAAAAATATATATATATATATATATATATATATATATATATATATATATATATATTATTGGTTTTTTACAGAGAGGAAGGGAGAGGGAAAGAGAGTCAGAAACATCAATGAGAGAGAAACATCGACCAGTTGCCTCCTGCACGTTCCCCACCGGGGATGTGCCCGCAACCAAGGTCCATGCCCTTGACCGGAATCGAACCTGGGACCCTTCAGTCTGCAGGCCGACGCTCTATCCACTGAGCTACGTGGATCAGGGCTTTTTTTTTTTTTTTTTTTTTTTTTTAAGTTCTGATCTTTTTCTTTCCTTAACTAAGAATTCTCTAAATTGTTTCTATCTCAAAGTCATGGGTGTTGTGCGTTAGACGCGTTAAACGTCTAGGGAAATGGCTGCCAGGGAAGCCCTGAGCTCCGATCCACTCTTACCCACAGTTCCCCCGGACTAATGTCCCACGTCCGTGTGGACGGTCCGTGCATTGCAATCAATGAATCAGTATTTTTTTAAAAAATATATTCTTGTATTAATTTCATGGAGAGGAAGGGAGAGAGAGAGGGAAATACCGATGAGGAGAGAGAATCCTGGACCGGCTGCCTCCTGCACGCCCCCTCCTGGGGATGGAGCCTGCAGCCCGGGCGTGTGCCTTTGACCGGGAATCGAGGCTCCACCCCTGAGCCGCCCGGGCCGGGCAGAACGAGTCAGTATTGCTGGCCCACGCCTCTTCCAGGCTTCCCTCGCCTTCCCTCTGTCCTTGCTCGTCCTCATCCTCGGCTCCTGGGAGGTCCCGTCTTCTCAGATCCCCTCCCCGGCTTGGCTGTGAGTGCTGCTCAGCCCCATGCCGGGTACCATTTCCCTCAAGGTCTTCCCAGCTGGATCCGTGCCTTACTGACCCTGCGGAGTCCACGTTCCAAACAAAAGCAAAACCCACCGCCGTCCGGGCTGTTCTGGGAAATCATCCCCAAGACCGGGAGCGGGCGCCCCGGTGTCACCCCATTGAAATGGGGGGATGGAGAGACATCAACGTGAGGCCCGCACGTGCTGAAGTGTCCTCATCTGCTGGCTGCTCTCCTCTGTCCCAGCGAAGCCAGCCGCCTGCAAACTCCCCCGCCGCTGGGATTCCACGTGTGTGAAGACCTCACGCCTGTTTGCCCGGCAGAGAGACTTGTGTCCGCGAGGGAGACGGGTTCTCCCCAGAATTCCCTCCGGCCTCCCCTTACCTCCAGCCTGCATCCTTCGCCTTGAGCTGGGGTACCGGGCACGGCGGGGGACAAGAGAGCAGGGTGTGGACTCCACAGCGATGGCTTGGCGTGAGGGTGTATGAAGTAGCATGACGGCGCGTGTGATTGGCGGGATGGGGCCCGCCTTTCGCGTGTTTTAGGAAAGCACCCCGATTAGGGCACGGGCACCGTTCTGACGGAACATGGATGACCCGTTCGCCTAGGGGGTAGCCATGGACGCCTCGGCCTGGACGTAGGCAGGGAGCGGCGTCCGAGGAGGATGGAGGGAAAGGAAGCGATGGGCGTGGTCCCTGCGGGGAAGGAACCAGTTGGAAGGAATGGCGAATATCAATAATAGTAATAATAATAATAGTAATAATTAATGATAATAATACATTCTGCCTAGACGTTGTGAACCCAAGATCCTAATACCAAACAAAGAAAGCCTTTTAAGCTGCTCTACCTGACCCTTGCTCTGTCTCAGAACCGCAGTGCCATTGCTGAGGTCACGATCTCTCTCTGTAATGATATATGAAGGATCTAGAATAATGCTGCTACCCTGAGATACCTACTTTTTATTTTTATTTTTTGGAAAGTCTTATTTTTTATTGATTTTAGAGAAGAAGGGAGAGAGAGAGAGAGAGAGAGAGAGAGAGAGAGAGAGAGAGAGAGAGACATCCATGAGGAGAGAGGATCACGGACTGGCTGCCTCCTGCACGCCCCACCCTGGGGATGGAGCCCACAACCCGGGCCTGTGCCCTTGACCGGGAATCGAACCCTGACCTCAGCCCCGGAGCCAGGCCGGCCCGGCTCCCATCCCCCTCGCTTTTCAATGAAGACTGTAGGTGACAGGTGTTTCTCTCGCACTGAGCGCTAACTCCCTGATAGGATTCAGGGTTGGGATGACTCAGGGGGTGTCTCACACAGGCAGGGGAAGTTGGGGTTCTGGGTCAGGGGAGAACACTGTGAATATTGTCAACATCCGTAGCTCTTCCTCCTTCTTTTCTAGAAAATTTGGATTTTTTTTTGGGGGGGGTGCGTAGGGAATCTACTCTTGTGGAAACATTTTCGGATGCCAACGCCATTCAGGTTAGCATGAGAGACCTTGGTTCGTGGCAGAGATTGGTCCGTGGGGACACAAGTTTCAGAGCTTGAATCTCCAAATCTAATTTCTCCAAAGCGCTTCATGACATGAGGAAGGAGTTCTTTCAAAACGGGTCAATACTGGGGGGTCTTCCCCAGGGGACACCCCACCCTCAGCTCAGTGGTCTGTGTCTTCAAGCCTGTGTGTGTGAGAGAGAGGGGATGGTTTTGACTTGCACCTTGATTTGTTCCAGAGAATTCTGTGTGCGTAGGACGAAGGATATGTCATGTTGAAGAGGAAGAAACGGTAGGATTTTGTGCAATATGATGTCTTTTGCGTCCTTGCGTCCAGACACGTATGCAAATCTGCTCCTGGGGGCAGACGCCTTACGACGGTGTGTAAGACTGTATGTAGCAACGCCCTGGGTGATTTTTTTTTTTCTTTAGAGGAAGAAAAAGAAATGTGTCTGTGTTTCTGTACGTTGGCAGGAGACGTGTGTGTGTGTGTGTGTGTGTGTGTGTATTTAAAAATAATCACCGACAGGGCGTCATCACGAAACTGCCTCAGCGGCCATCCGTCTGTGATACGAAGAATCCTCAGCCTTCAGTGCGTGGCGGCCACGCTGTGGTTCTCACGGACACGGCGCCACGTGTGGGTTCCACGTGGCCCCGCCCACGCCACGCCACGCCGACCGAAGGGGCATTTGTCCGGCGAGGCCCACGGCCGTGGACGGTCACATCCTTCAGGGCATGGCCCGAAACGTGGGACCGCCCGTGAAATGAAGTTCATTATGTGTGTGTGTGTGTGTTTTACCTCCCAGCTTCTCGAGGCTTCTACCTTTTAGGATACTTGAATCCGGCAGGAAAAGCACTGTGGGAATTCTGTAGCCCGGGATACAATATGCAAATCTACCGAAAAGCAAAAAAAAAAAAAAAAAAAAAAAAAAAAACTACAAACAACAACAACAACAACAAAAATCAAAGTGAAACCAGGTCCTGAGCGCCGCCCCGTCGGATGCTGTAGGCTCACCATCGGATGCCTCTGTGATGTGAGGCCCCACCCCTCCGTCTCTCGGTCTGTGTAGCTCCCGTCCTCCGTGGGGGGCAGCTGACCGTGTCCCTCAAGAAGGGACCAGGAGGGTCACGGACAGATAGACCTCCGATGGGTCCCCTGGCGCCGAGAATGGGACACAGGAGGCCGGGTGCATCCTCAGGGTACCACGCCCCTCCGCCGGCCTCCTGCCGGGAACATCCCTCCCCCGCTACGCGCTGGACCCGCGGCCCGTTTCACCATCGGATGCCAGACGCGAGCATTCTGGAATGTTCTGTGGTTCCGGTACTCACCCTGCAGGCAGGCAGGCAGGCAGGCAAGCCATGGGTGGGCGAGACCGAGCTTCTCTGTCTGCAGACACGGTACCCGAGAGGTTCCCGGGTGGAACTTGCCTGTCCCCTGCGTTTCGTTTGTGTTAGCGCAGTAGCTGTGTAGGAGGAATGGCCCTCGGCAGGCCACGGGGCCAGGCGTCTGGAGACACACGCCTCGCCTGCGCAGGGGCAGGCTCCGCGGTGCTCGCACCCTGGGGCCTGCAGTGGAATTCATCTCAAAGGCTGACTGCTATGCCCGGGAGGACCTGGTGTGGACAAGGACTGTGTGGGGGGAGAATCTTTAAACAACAACAAATGTATGCAAATAGGAACATGGGATGGACTACAACGCATTACCGTAACGTGCCCGACAATGCAGTGATGAAATAAA